CCCCCCACCCACCCCCACCCACCCCCCCCCCCCCACCCACCCACCCACCCACCCACCCACCCCCACCCACCCACCCACCCACCCACGCACGCACGCACGCACGCACGCACGCACGCAAACGTTCTGACAAAGCAGTTCACGATAGTTCCCGTCTACAGCGGCCTTCTGAAACGTACGTTCCAGACAGTGGAATGCCTGAGCAGTTCGACACATGATCCTACTCTCCTACACCAACAGCCCGTTCCACATGTGTGCCGACTCGACGTGCGAGGCATCGGCACGCAGTGCAATCGTCCAGCCAGGCTCTCCCAACCTCATGAAGGTCTCATGACAGCTATGACAGGTCTCGCGGCAGGCTGTCGTAGGCTTGTTGAGCTATCGAGTTGGGTCGCAAGCAAACTGCCGAAGCGGTAGCAATAGTGGACCAGTGCCTGGCGCGAACTTGCTTCAAACTAAGTTGCTGCAGACACTGGCCTATCAAGCACGTAGTGCACATTGCATGAATCAAGAAAAGAGCCTTGAAGCACAGCAGATTCTTGGCGGTCGGTGTGCCCGCAGGGTTGCTGCCGGAGCCTAGGTTGCTTCGGAACCAGCTGTTCATGAAACGATGGAACCAGATCTCTGAGGCTTGGGCTGACGGCACTTATGGCCAGCTCTGCGTCACCCTGTACGCCAGAAAGCACAGTTGAGACTTTTTTGCGTTCGGTCAAGCGGTCAAGCAAAATTACGGCACGTTTGCAACCCCGCAGAGACCTCGGAAACTTCGGAGTTCAAGGTGATCGTCGTGATTGCGCAGGTACAGTAGCCATGGCCAGGTTAATTCCCCCAGCATTTCGGGCAAGTTGCAGTGCCGTGTTGTGTGGCCTCGAAAAGCAGCGCGATTAAATGAGACAAAGTCGACAACCCCCTCCACAGAACTGATTTTTGTAAGGAAGCACGATATAGCAAGCAACCAGTCGCGCACCCAAACTTCCACCTGCAAATATCGAAGCAGGCGACTTGGTAACTTCTCTCAGACATACCTGGCAGCATCAGCAACAGCAGCGCAGTCATCATCAGCATAATAATACTGTGTTATTTAAACTGGCACAGTGCTGTCCCACCCTTGCAAGCTGAGCCCTTGCAGAAAAACACAGAGAAGAATCGAAACACATTCGTCATGATCCATCCTAGCCGTCCCATTCCCGTGGGGAGGCCGATTCCACGACGGACAGGTCCAAAAACCCGCAGCCCGAAATCAGGATTTCCACAGAACTGCCCACGCCAGCCCCGCCGCATGAGCTGCAGATAGCTGCAGGGAGTCTCCATCTGTTCAAGCCCACATAGACACGGCCTTGACGCCTCTCCCAGGGTACCTGGTTCTCTTCGTTGCGGTGGCCGTCGACGGCGAAAAAGCGAGTGCAGCAACTTTGAGACGCTTTATGTTGGGATACATGCTGGCTAGCTGTGCCGAGGATTCAAGTCGGGCATCACCTGTGTTGCACCGTCAGCTTATGTCCGGAGCAGAAGGCTCCTCCTGACCCCTGTCGAAAAGTCACTGCCGGCAAAGCGCAACTCCGCCGATGCAAGTTTGAAAGAACCAAGCCAATGGCTTCTGTTGATTTCGGACTGTGACATGCACATCCGTCGGCCCGTGCCTCCCGGGCATGACTAGGCCAGGCATACCGCGAGAACCTCGGCAGCAGAATCTATGCAAGTTCACGATCCTGCATTCTCTGGTGGCTGCCACATGTAAGCAAAGCATGCTCTGTCAACAGCAGATAGTTGGGTGGCGGACTGCAGGAGACATGCCTTCGCATGTCTAGGAATGCATCCGATGCCGTTACAAGTGGGCGGAAGTCTCGTCGTGTGGCTGGGGTGCAGACATCACGAGCTTGATCCAACGACAGCCTGCGGGTTGCAGATGCTGTGTTGGTGATTTCCATTACTTCAGAAGAATTGGAACATGGCTGCCACCCTCAGCCACCCTCCTGCTGCAGCAATAAAGCAAAGTCTGGAGGCAGCGGAGGGCCTCCAAAGTCGCCACAATCCACAGTCAGGACACTTCACACGCCCCCTATGGTACTCCCCCCGCCTGCTGCACTGCCAGTGAATCTTGCGTCCTATGGAGGCTTCAGCTCAAGCAGTGTGCCTGTGGGATTCCGTGCGTCCGAGGCCGAAACCCGTGCAGCAGCAAGGCCAGAGCGGAAAGGATTGACCTGCAACGATCGGCCCGCAATTCCATTGCATTCCGAGGCATCTCTTCCCATCTTCTGGCGTCAAAACGATGTTTCTTCACTTGACGTCACATTGCTAGAGCTGCTAGAGGTCTCCCGAAGTATCAGCTGCATGTGCGCGACAGAGGCGTTCACGCATGAGGTGCTCGACTCGGTGAGGTGCTTGAAGGCTCAAGTCAAGTGCGACAGGCTCACGCCCACGTGTCCGCGAGCATTCCTTTGCAACGCTCCTGCTGGCAAGAGAGTGCGATAGACTCGCAACCGTCGCTTATCAATCGGTAGCCAGATCTCCTGGTCTTGGGAGAGCTCGCGAAGAGGTGACAGGCGCCCTCCGGGGAATGGCCTCAGTTCAGCGTCTTTCGGCTTGGTGGGAGGCCTGATTCCCTTACAAGATGTTCGAAGTTCTTAGCAGCGCACCCGTCCGGCGTGCTCGTCGCCTGCGCCAGGCGTTTCGAGCATCCGACGAAAAGATCGAAAAGTAAACACATTCATGCGGTGAGGAGGCCCAGGGCCCGCGCTCGAACCATCCGCTGTTCCACTGGAGTCTCCTTGAAGAACTGTAAGCAAAACCGCCACGCCGATATATCTAGAAGCAGACAAGTTCAAGTGTGCAGCCTGCTTGCACATGCACACGAACCTTTTCCTCCGCCTTCTGACTTGTTTTCCGGAAACAATTTCAGCAAGCCACCGCCACAGCCGCATTCATGGCGAGGCAGCCGAGCAGGCCCGTGATAGACGTCCGGCAACCGCGATCCCACGCAATGCATCCTTTGTGGGCATGGATTCCTCGCGGGATCAGGCGCTTCTTCGGATAAGTCCATCCCGTCAGGACGAGTGAAATGGTATGTCGCTGTACAAGATGCTGTCTCCAACTTCAAGATCCAGGTAGGCAAGCCTTTGCCCGTCCTTGGGTTTTGTTCTCCGAAAACGTTCAGACGGGGGTCTTCTGCGTGGCTCCGACAAGGCATGTATCTGCTCCCCCTACCTACTAGCACGCATACCTACTAACACGCGATTCCATGTTTTGGTACCATGTGACCTGACTTAGAGCCATGTTTCAAACCATCACTCACTCACACACACACACACACACACACGCATTTCAACCCATTACGGCATAATAATGGTGCTAAGTACCATGAACAACCGTTTCATATGCACGTCTCAGCCTATCAAGCCAGAATGATAGTGCTGAATACCAATGCTTCTTTCATGTCGGCGATTTGAGTGGAAACCGAAAGAAAACAATACATTTCATGGTGATGGTACAAGTCGACGTTAATAAGGAAAAACCACAGCGCTGCAAGCAAGGCAGACCCAAGATGAACGACACTAGCGTGTAGAACGGTTTTCCGTATGTTGCTCAAGTCAAAGATTAAACAGGTTTTGTTGGCCCCAATATCAACCTAGTAAATTAGTCGAAGCTAAACTCTTGTAATGCTATTCCTGGCATTCCTGGCACTGGTTCACCCTCACTGACCCCCGTAGCCACGCATAAGACGTGCCCACAGGGCCAGGAACATCCGAGCCAGCTCAGGAGCACATATAATCCCTAATACCACGGACCCGGACCCGGGGACGTGCGTCCCGGCTTCGTACCCCCTTTAAAGTTAAATTCTGAAGCCGAAATTCGGGGCCTAAATTGGGTCCGAAGCACAAATTCGCCTGACGCTGAAATTCGGTGCGGATTTTCGATCCGGCAAGCGAGTGAAGCCGAAATGATTCCGAGGCACCAAGGCCCGACGTCTGAAATGCTCCTGACTCCTGATGCCTAAATTCGGAATTGCTGCTGCTGTGATCACTGTGACCTCTACGCCCGCCTTGGGAAGCGATCCCACCGCTTTGGCGGCTTTCGTCAGGGGGACGAGCGCAACACGGGCTCCGCCTCTAGAAAACTGACCCGATATCCCCCTCCTATGGAAGGTTACAGGTGCAGTGTGGTTCCTTCAAGACCAAATGACTCGTCCCTTGCAAGCGCTGCAATAAGGCAGGTTTGTACACAGCTGCCCCAGCAGGCCCTCTGGCTCAATAACACTCCCTCATTTTTCAAACCTGTGAATAAAACAGGGGCGGCAGGCGGCTTGTGACGGCTGCCGGTGCCGCGGCAGCTCAACCTGAAGAACACAATCCGTGGCCTGAACACACGCACCGGCACACTCAAGACCTATGCTGTGTGTCGTGGTTTCGACTCTCACAATCGCAAGCGCAGGCAAGGCTCCTCATGGTTCGATCTCCGCTCACATAACTGCCGAAGCTGACTCTGACACAAAACAACCCCACAAGAGAACTGACAGCTCAATAAAGTCAAGGGTAAAGTCCGGGTAAAGGTGAACTAAGCAGCGACAACCGTTCTGAGTCAGCTACAAGCAGTGGCCGATGGCACAACACGGGAAACATTGCTCCCTGCTGCAGTCTGTTTCAATAGTACTCACTCCTTTCAAGCCAACCAGAACATTGCGCCACAGAAAGCTTTCTCATGCAGAATCATGATACCGTCAATCAGAAATTCATTCATGCAGAGGACACCGCGCAGCCGGCTCCAATGAATTCCAGCAATCGCTAGCAGGCATCCATTGATATTGAAGCAGTGTAGCCATGCACAACCACAATATAGATATTCCAACACAGAAATCCACGAGCCAGTGCTCCCATTCGATAAATTCCAATCCAATTCTGCGACCAGGTGTCCCCACTGTAAGAGAGCAGGGAGACCAAAGCCACGCATTCCCATGCAGTATATTCTTCAGGGACCATGCAAAAATTCTCGTGCAAAAGTCCAGGCCACGAATTCTAAGTGCAGCACTCATGCATGGAAACTGTAGACGTTGTGCTAAGCATGCATCGTTCCAGGCCAAAGCTGGTGAAGAGTACAGTCATGCGAGCCGAATTCAATTACCTGCGTTGCAGCCTCAGCACACATGCAGGCATGCGTTAAATTCAGCAGGCACATGCAGCAACACGAAAAAGTGGATTCAAACATGCAGTGTTGGACTCAAACATGCAAATTCGTCATGCACAAATTCGGGAATTCAGGGATTCGGGCTTGCAAAAATTACATGTGCTGCACCAATACCACACTGCACGTCCCACAGTGACCTGGGTCCCACAGCAGCGTCCGAGCCAGCTGAATAGAGGAAGAAAAGCTGTGTAACGTGAGCACATTATGTTCATCCTGAGGGTTCCGGGCATATCACATCGCAACCAACAAGGCAAACACAAGTTCAAGGATCAGCCCACAAGATAGGGTTTAGCTTTAGCAAAGATCATAAGCTACTGACAAACATCAGCCTGCGAATGCCCGGATCTCATCTTCACGAGTCGCTGCACGGGTGCCGTCACTATAAGTGACTGTCGCGAACCCCGCACCCACATCAGCATGCGAAAAGATTGGCCTAACCAATGGAATGCGAGACTGTAAATCAATAACCTGGGGTGCTGTACGAGGTTGCGGCTCAGGAGCAGGTTGCGAAGCGCGTGGCAGCTCGCGGTACGGTGCTCGCTCCGGCTGGCGATCTCTGACCTCCTTCGTCAGCTGAAGCAGCTCATCTTGCGTCTCGCGAAGCTGACCCATATGGCCTTCCAGCTCACCCTGCGAGAGCGACGTATCCAGGAGCCGTGTAGTCCCAGCCGAGTCCACAGGCGGCCTTCCAAAGGCGGCCCCCATTTGTGCCACCGAAGCTGCCAGGCCGTCGATGACAGCCGATTGGTGCTCCATCTTCTTTTCCAGGCTCTTCATCAAGCCGTGCCCGTCTTTGTGCAATTGGCTGCCTTGCCCCTTGAGCAGGCCCACCTCCTCGTAAATGCTGGTAGTCTTGGATCTGGTGACCTGCTCCACCTTCTCGGCCTGCTGCGTGCAGCGCTCCACTGCTGTTTTCACCGCCGAGATCGCATCCAGAATTTCTTTGGAGGGGGGTCCACAGGCTTGGCAGGCGTCCCTTGCTTCAGCACTTTCAAGCCTTTGGTAGTCCTCAAAACGAATAAAGAAGTCCTTGAGCGTTGTTTTGAAGGGCGTGAGGTCTTGGTCCGCCAACTGCTGGCTCGCACCGTTGAGCCCCGACTCAACCATTTCCTTCAAGTCCTTCATGGCCTTGACCGAAGGCGCCAAGACATCCTTCAGTTCTTGCACCCATGAAGCTGGAATAGCCCCTGCCTGTGCCCCACTTCCAGCACGACCAGCAGAAACATCGTCCAGAAGTTTGTGAACCGCCTTGTTGAGTGCGATGTGCGACCGCGTTAGGTCTCCCAGCTCGTCTTGCTGCTTTTAGACGAGCTTGAGAGCTGACCCCATCCAGTCGCATGCATGTTGAGCCGTCATCGTTACCCCCTGCACATCCTCGCATGCAAGGCCGAATTGGGCTTGCAGGTCGACTTCTGCCTGCGACATCGCACCACTCATCGAGTCTGCATCCTGCACCAATCGGGCAGTGGTTCGCCATTGCAGTACTTCGGCCTCCAATTGCTGTAGCCTCGCATCCACCCCAAGCACGGCCGTCATGGCGCGTGCCATAAGGGTGCGAGCATTCAGGCTCTGCACGAGCAACACCAAAGAGCTCCACAAAGAGCAGGAAGGGAAGCCACTCTTCCTGCAGCGAATTCGGCCACTTCAGCACCATCTGTAGTGCATGTGCTCCACTCCCCGGTGTCTCCAGGAAAGCCTGTGTGGCCTCCATGGTCGCAAAGGGTCGAGAGGCTACAAAATGCTCGAGCTCAGTCACTCAATAGCTGCATAGTCAAGGCTCATGCAACACGTTCAGCATCCCCGCCTAAGCGAGCAGCCAGCAGGGCTAACGTGAGCCGCCTCAGCTCATGCAAGGGTCCTCTTTATTCCACAGCTATTTGGCATCCAAATTATGTGTGTCTTATTTAATCATGCAAGGCCTGATCACATGAAGCATGTGTGTATCACTTAATGCAAGGCCTGATCACATGCAGGGTGCACCAAATTGAACAAATTACGGCATGCACATGCAATCGAGCATCCACATGCACATGCACATGCATTCGAAACGAAGTCAAAACACGAAACGAGGCTTGGAATCAGCTACGTTGTATCTTACATACAACTTGCTCCCCGCCATGCTAAGCAGTCACTCAGGCCAGCGACGAGCCTAGTGCCGTGTCTTCACTTGTGCGCTCATCTCCACTCAACGACAGACATATCTGGACGTCGTCCGATGCCGTCGACTCACATGCAGCTTGTTCTGATTTCTCGTCAGATGATAGACAGATGTGGAGCGGGGAAAATTGACGCAAGCTGCCTGACTTCCAAGGAGGGTACCGAAACAGCGAATCACGAATGCTGGTCTGTACTAGTCCCGTGCTGGCGAAAGTCCCTAGCGCAGCAGACATGCACAAAGTCACGGCTCCGAACAAGGTACTTGGTGGGCATCGCGACAGGATTGGCCCCCTGTTCTACCCCTCCAACGCTGGCTGTCTTTTTTGTACATAGAGACACTCCTGGCCCGCTTGATCAAGTGCGCCTTTGAATGCTGCCAGGTCACTCATGAGTGACAATGGCACATTTTCTTGGAACAGTTCACGATGATACAATTCGGGCGGAGCAAAAAGTGCTGACTCTGACTCCCCTTGACCAAAGAGTTTCAGAAGACAGACAAGTTTGAGCCCCGGGGTCATGAGTGCCAGTGCGCTCCCAAGTTTCGTAGCATCCGGCGGGACAACGGCCGACGGAATCCAGTACTCCAGCCAATCCTTTAACATCGCCGTCCAAGCTCGCCTGTCCTGGGCCTGCACCTCCCAAAAGGGGGCAAGACCAGGGTCTGCCTTGTCTGAAGATATCTTGGAATAGGCACGCTGCAGCTTCCTAGTAGCGAGATCAGTGAGCCACGCTGCCCGCAGCCCCCTTTTCAGGTTAGAAGAGCTACACATTCTCAGGAGGACTCTTTGCGGATGTGCGATTTGACATCGTGCCAAATGGCCGTGGTAGCTCCAAAATCTCCGCAGCCAGACATTCCGCCAGTCTGGCCCTCTTGCCAAAGCACACATTAGCCTGACAGCTCTTCGACGGCTAATCGTATTATCCACCCAATGCATCAAGGGATCTGTTCCTACCCTGCAGATGGACAATACATAAGCGTTTTTGTGGGATTCGATCTGCCTGAGGGCCCTCTGATCAGGAAACATAGCGGGCGCCGCCCACTGCCACTTTGCAGTGACAAAGGAATCAGGGGTTCGTGGTGTGCGCTGGCCATTAGCCCGACCTACCCCGGTGCAAACCTACCGGAGGGAGGGAGGGAGTTCTTTGAAGCTTAGCAGCTTGTCCATATATGGAGCTGTAGCCAGCACCGTCCCAGAAATACTCACGGTCTGTACTCCAGTTGGCGGCCTCAGTGTGCGTCGTTTTTTCAACACGGGGCTTCAGCTGGCCCCAGCGAAAGCAGCTAGCAGCTAGGTGCGTCAGCTCAGTTCCGCTACTCTCTCCAGCACGAATCTGCAGGAAGGCAGGTTGTTGATTCTGATCGTCCAAGTCACGACGACGAAGCACTTCAAGCCGTCTCTTCCCAAATATTTTTCGGACAGGTCCTGCAAAGTTATCCCGTCCGCAGCCAAAAGGTATCCCCGAGCTCCAGTACGACGGACATGCGAAACCTGCCTTGCGAAACCAGCGCTCTGTCGGACCATCAGTTGGGTGCCCAACCCAGGCCACGGAGTACAAGAGTGCCCAGAGATTTGCATTCCTGAATTCCACTCACACTTGACCATGTTCTGACAGACGGCACTACTTGCATTGTGTCGTAGCCGGGAATCGAGTACAGCTGAGCCAAGCGGTGTACATCATAACAAATACCTCAAGCGACATAAAAAGGTTTGACAGCACGGGACAGAGACTCCCGCGTCAAGACATCTAACATAAAACCGCGGTCTTCACCCCACCTGTGGCTCCTCATGCTGCATACAGTGCGATAGGTGGTCGAGACAGAGAGAGAGAGAGCGAGAGAGAGAGAGCGAGGGACCGCTTGCTATGCCGCGGTTGATGATGATGTGAGGGCCTTCCAAGTCCGGATGTCGAGCCGCTGCTTGTTCTACAAGAACTTAGAAAAAACATTGAAAACGATGGACCTTTGTGGCACTCGTTTCATGACTTGCCTGGGTCTGCTCCTGCTTCGTGCTGCTCTCTGGAAAGCCTTGAGCCATGGTGCCAATTCCAACCCGGCCGAATTCCGTCTCCACGAAGCCTGGGCTATCGCCTCTGGAAGCCCAGCTTCCATCGACGTAGTCCTCCAAAAAGCGAGTTTCTCAGCCACTCGTCGCCAGTTCTGCTCACAGTCTTAGAACAGCTGCAGCACTGTCCCAAAGGTGCGTTTTGCGATAATGGACGACCTCAAAAATTCGTGCGCCCTAACTTGCAGGAAAGCGCAACACATGATGCCAATCACCAAACTTGCAGGTCTCAGTGTCAGCTGAGACGCTACTTCTCCAGAGGGTCCAGCCAAACAAACTGTGTTGAAAAACCGGCTCTCGGCCTCTCCTTCCTTCGCTTCCTCCACGAAGGGAATCGTCATGTAGACCTGCAGCTCCTCAGCACAAACGCCCCACATGCACAGTCCAGCGAACTTTCGGTTCCTGGAGGACATCTTCGAAGCTAGCGCAAGGATCAACAACCGATTGGCTTCTGGATATGATTGACACGCCAGCTCAGCACAATCTTAGTTTGAGTCATCAATCATTGCAATGCGTTATAGATCGCGCTGCCGACATTGAACCGTTTCGTTGACAGCGATTCATTCACACTGATCACATGTTCCTCATCGTGCCTGCGTGATCTTCACTTCGTCGGCGACAGGGTTTCCGTCTCTGTGAGACAGACAGAGGTTCTGAGCAGCTGCTTCCACAATACTTTTCTGCAGGCATGGCACTTTGGCCAAGGCCACCAGCTTCTGCACTATCCTGAACGGGCAAACCATTCTTTTATGCAACCGGGAAGAAGCAGAGTCCCTTTATGCTGACTTCCCACCACAATGACAAGAGAACATCTGTGATGATGAATCATGATCGCTTTTTGCAACGCATGCTCGATGTGGCTTTGCGCTTGCCCGGAATACGTCAACGCCGAGTTCAGGCAAGCATGGTTCACGCGGCACAGCTGGGCGAGGGGCGCCCACCTACAATTCTGACTTCATGGCTTCTCCGTCTGGTATGCCTTTCTTTCTTTCCTGCAGGTTCCGGCGAGCCCTCTCAACCAACATGCGATCCCTGTCTTGCACGATCTGTTCGGTTCGTGCATAGAACGTCTTGAACTCCTCCAGAACTAGTACATAGTCATTGTTGACATCCGCCGCCTTGAACGCTTTTTTGAAGTCCTTCCGCACATCTTTCGGCAGCTTTTTGAAGCCTTCACTGTGACGAACTTCATGCCAATGTATGGTTCCGTCTCCGCTCAAGTCCATGTTGTCCAAAAGGGCCGCCACATTCAACTGCCCCAGTGCTACGCAGCACAGCAAGACTAGCCCACTGAGGGTGCATGTCGCTTTTGGCATGTGCTTCCGCCAGGGCGGGAAACGAATCTAGTGGGCTTACCTCCAGCAGCTCTGACACCCAAAACAGCGTGGCACCGGGATCATGGCAATGTGAGTTCAAGCTGAAGAGCTTGGCCGCCTGAGCCTTTCGGGGAGACCTTATCGTGCAGTGTTTTACCCGCCACCACCTGCCTAGCTGCACCTGGACTGGCTTTTGAGGACTCCGGTAGCACTCTGCGCATGTTTTGCTGGGGTCAGGGTGTCATGCACCTGCGCTACTTGAGCATTAAATCTTGCAGCTCGTGTAGCTGAAATAGGTCGCCATGTTGTCAGTCTCCGGGAGTGTCCTGAGCTCCTCGCGGGGAGTCCACCTTCGGCACAACACCTGTGGGATCGATGCCAGTAAAGCGAGGTTGTAGCCGCCGCTGTGGAATGTGCCAATTGTGCAGGAAAGCCTGGGATGTATACCTCGTAAGGCGGCAAATCCTCTATCTGTCTCTCTCTGTAAACTAAAGTAAAAGAACGATAATGGTATTGCTTCAGGCTTCCCCGTGAGCGCAGCTTCCGGAAAAACGATGATCTTTGCACCGCCTTCCTCAGGTCACGAGTTCACGACGAGCAAGGACAGGGCAAGCATGCTTATCCCCTATCCCCTCTCTCGCTCTTTTTTCTCTAGGGCCGTGCTTGCGTGGGGTGCAGGGGCTGCACGCAGCCCCCAGCCCAAGGGCCTACTCCGTGGCTCGCAACGGTTGTTCTTCTCGGCCCGGTCGGGGATCCCCCACTTTGCTCGGAGAGGGTGCCACCGTTCCCCCATGTGCAACCATGTAGCCATGACTCACACCTCTCCCTCTTCCGCTCGATTGTTCTGAGATACCGCAAGGTGTACAACACAGTGGTTTTGCATGGGCACATTCCACGCTGAGGTGCAGCAGCTTTACGCGCCAGTCTCTCCATCTTCTCGGCATTGTCCTTGCAAGGGCAACTAGGGAGAGAAAGTTCAGTCGAAGCTGCTTGCCACTGGACGGTGCTGCATCTGGCAATGTGCTCTAATCACCTCCACAGCCGAAGCGGAGCCCATCCGACTGGAGCATTGTATAGCCTTGTTTCGAAAAGAAGTCTGGAAACGCTGTGCTGCCTGTTCTTCCTCTGAAGCGGCAAGCAGGACACCAGCAGCACCAGCTTTACCATAGTCATGGCTGTTCTTGGTTGGTGAGTCGTTGGGGCATATTTCCAGAGTTCTTAAGACCCTTGACCCGTAGGGCCCCAGCAGCCACTCGCACGCGCGGCTGCGGCACCATGCGGATACCTGTCCCAAGGCTGCATGCAAGCACAGCACCAGCGGCCATGTTGAAATAGATAGAAACCTGCCTGCAAGTCGTTGACATCCCCACCAGCATTGCAGGCAAGGGCTCCACGAGTCCATGAAAGTCTAAGACCGAGGCCTCTCCTTCAAGGCATGCGACCTATCTGAGACTGCCTCTCTTGACAAGGCAGGGTCTTTGGAGTGCTTGTGCTTGTGTGTGTGTGTGT